ACAAGCCATGAAAGCACTTAAGACATAGTTTGGGGTCTTGGCCAACAGGATCTGCCTGGGCACTGAATGGGGCAATGACATGAGGGGCTGCAAAGAAACAGGCATGAGTCCTAAGTGCCCAGCCTCGGGCGCCGGTTGGGTGGTGGGGCCCCTGACTGAGATCCTCTTGGCAGAAAGAACAGCTTGGGGGCGCGGACACGGACACGGGAAGGAGCTTGTTTGAAACATGACATTTCAAGGTGTCTTTGAGACATCCGCCTGTCTGGGGGACAGTGGTAACCTAAAGGGATTCTTTGGAAGTTTGCCCTCTCATCTGCCACTTGGCTCATTTTCCGCAATGACGCAGCAGCTGCAATAGGACAGAGGGCAGAGCTCAGAGGGGCGTGTGAAGCACACGGGGTGCTGCAGCCCAGGAGAGAAAGACACTGTGTAAGTTCTCTGATCATTCCTAAGACTGTGGGCGTTTCAGTGCTCCACCAGCCTCCGAGGACACACAGCTGGCCCGCAGGAGAGGAGACTGCTCTTCCTTTATGATCTGCAGATTTGCAGCACTGAAGACACCACTTTCCATTTACCTCTACATGAAAGGATGAACAGAGTCCCGAGTTGGAAAAATAAATAAAAACAAACCTTAGGAAAACCAGCTGCTAGAAACAAGACAAAGAAGCAGAGGACCTGAAATAAGCTGTACTTTGTGAACTAAACACAAAAGACGAGATCACTTAATTATGGCATGAGTATCTTGGGACTAAACAAATGATTTTTAAAATTTAAAACTCCGATTGTTGAAAAAGAAGATGTCACTGTTGAGAAGGGAAAAAATATATCAAAACACAAACAAATATACAAGACAGCTAAGGATAATGAGGGGGAAAATAACACAAGGTTAGAGGAGAGGTCTAGAATAGAGATATCAATTCATTCATTTGAATAACCAAGAATTCGCTGTACAGAAGAATGTTTTACTTACATTTACTTTCAGAAGGAGCCTCTTCTACATCTTGACAGCACTGTTATAAGAGAAGTAGATACCTATAAGATTTTTAACTGTAACTGAAACATAGCTGGGCACCTCCAAATTGCATTAATTTGTACAAATTGCATTAATTACAGTAAGGTAATACACATAATGCATGTAGCACAGTACCTTGCACATGGCAGGTCTTCAACAAATTTCAGTTTCCCTTTTGCCTTAGGAGGAAACTGTCCCTTGCTTTTACTTTTTAAGGTGCTATTTATTAATTATCTTTTCAGAACAATCTTATTCTTAAAAATATTTTACTTTGCTAGTATGTGGTTAAAATAAGCAGGCCTATAATTTTGACTTAAAAAATATAATGGTCCACTTGAGAACATTTGGGCTGACAAAAGATATAGAGAAGTGGTAGGGTAGGTGTGGTCCATGGAATGGGTCTTCCAAACATATGCTCTAAGGAGGTGCTAATCAAAACAGAAGTTTCTTCTCAGATAGAGTTGACCACTTCCAATTCAGGCATTTAAAAAGAATAAATTCTGCCCTGAAGCCTATGACTTCTAGATTGTTTTCTGGTTGGCAGTATTTTATTTCATTTCCTAGACTGATTTTTTTTTTTTTTTACAACCCAAACCTCAAAATCATCTATCCTGCACTAAGCTAACATGGCAGATAAGAACAGCTGCAGGCATTCCAGTCTAACATGTACAGGATACAAAAATCACAGAAAACTCAAAGGTGGGTTTTTTTTCCTTTCAATACATGAAGAAAAGGTGCCCAAAGCTTCTACTCACTAACAGATGACATGCATTTCAGTCTTGCCTGTGCGATTAAAGTGGATTCTTAACTATGAAAAATAGGCAGTATTGCTCTAAGTGCTACCTCACTTGTCCCACTTCTCTTATTCTTCCTACTAATAAGTTTCTGTGCCAAAGATAATGGATGGCTGCAATGTCCGTGTTACCATGGGAAATAAATCCCATTGCCTCAGAAACAGATAAGTCAGCTTCATGAATACCCAATATCAATCTTAAATAAATAAAAAGAAGAAAAGAAAAAGAAAAAAGAAACAAAACATTTAGAACACTTTTTATTTAAGAGTCAAGGGCCTAGCCCGGCCGGGTGTGGCTCAGTAGTTGAGCATCAACCTAGGATCCAGGAGGTGGGGGTTCGATCTCTGGTCAGGGCACATGCTTGGGTTTTGGGCTGGATCCCCAGCAGGGGGCGTACAGGAGGCAGCCGATCAATGACTCATCATTAATGTTTCTGTCTCTCTTTTCCTCTCTCTGAAATCAATAAAACTATATATTTTTTTAAAAATTAAAAAAAGAGTCAAGGGCCTAGGGAAAGGAGAGAATGGGGAGTTATTATTTAATGGGTATAGAGTTTCCTCTTCGCCCAATGTAAAGAGTCCTGGGGATGGATGGTGGTAATGAGTGCACAATATAAATAATATCACTGAACTATACACTTAGAAATAATCAAAATGATAAATTTTATATTATGTATTTTTATCACAATAAAAAAAATTGAAAAAAGTCAGGGACTGTTTTATCATATCTCTATGATAAAATAATTTGTACCTAGTTAGATTCAAAGGAAAGTCCCAAAAGTTTACTTTATTTTAGTGTATCTGAAACTATGAAAAACACCGAGTATACTAGATATGAACTACAAAAAAAGAAATCTGACACAGACAGTAGTGTGGAAAGGACCTGGGTGGGGCAGGGGGGATGCTGGGTGGAGGGGATCAATGGGGGGGAAATGGGACATCTGTAATACTTTCAACAATAAAGATAATTTTTTTTAAAAAATCTGAAGTTACAAAAAAGGATTATCATACATATTGCAGATTATTTACCAACCTGGCAACACTACTATTTATCAACTAATATTGCCTTTGTTTGAATCTGTTTGCTCAAAATGAAAACATCACCTTCTCAACTCCCTGTTTAGCCCTCAGAAAAGTAAGGTTTTATATCTACCACTTAATCTGCATCTTAATTAAACCGTTAACTATTATCTTAGTGCATACAGAAATTAGTTGTATCTTTGCCTCCTTTTCATTCAAAGATTTCTATCTGAAAATTTTTAAAAATTCCCCTTTTCAAGTAAAGTCTAATAAGTGAATAATAAAAACCAGATTCTGGGATTTATAGATTAACCTTTTTTCTAAAATTTGCCTTTTTTCATTTAGTTTATAAAGTGTTTTTTTTATTTCATTATAGTTGGTATACAATATTGTATTAGTTTCAGGTATACAACAAGGCAATTCAATATTTTTATATCTTACAATGTGATCACCCCACTACTTCTAGTAATCATCTGTCACGGTCAATCAATTTTTATATCAAGTTACAATAAAATTTATGAAGACATGGTGACACCTTCTAATCATCTCTATCCCAGTCTCTCATCTTGCCTACAAATCTCAGGAGTTTCAGGAACTCTACCAAGTTTTCTGCTTAGCATTTATAGCCTGTCTGTGCTAGTGCCATTTTCCAGCATTGGCCCACCCAGGGGAATTGCTCACAGCATTTGCACGTCTATCATTGCTCAGGGTTTGTGCTTCAAAATGCTCCTTCCCTTAACATTTTATGAGGGACATGATTACAATTTCAATGTAATGATTTGAGCATTTCACAAAGCAAGAAAATTTCATTCACCCAAGAGCTTGCTTTTGCATTTATAGAAAACCTGGGGTCCTGAGTTCGCTATCTAAAATCATTCCACAAGATTCTGTGAGCAGAGCCTTAAGGTTAAAATGTATTTTATAGAAATAAATAAATAAAATGTATCAATTTTTTCACTATAAAAGATCCTTTCGCTTAGGATCTTTTAGATTTTTTTAAAGGAAATCTTATAACAAGTTACTAAATGTCTTGCAACAAGGTCATTAAAATCATATATGTGTGAATAATAAGGCATCTGATGATACCTCTGTTCCAGATGCATTTTAACTTAATGAAATTCTGTGCATTCACTTTAATGTCCCAGGTTCTGGACTTCCACCTGATGGTTGGACGTCGCTTTAAAAGACTCTGATAACCTATGTAGCCCTTCAGCTATTGTTGGAAAGCAAGTTCATGCATAGGGAGTTTGTGGTCAGTCTGTATAAAAATATTCAAATAAGCTTTTACATACATTTGCTGATTCTGTATTTAACATAGTACTCTGCACATTCACATCGTCACAGATAGTAATAATATATGGCTCTTTCTTGTATTCCACAAATATACAAATAAAAAATAGCAGAAATAAAGTGCAGGAATCTGAACACAGTTCTTTAGGGAAAAATGCAATTTAAAGAATCCTGAGAAAATCAAAAGGCTTTACATGGTATAGCCAAGGACGACATTCTGTGAGCTATTGACCTGAATTTTCAGCTCTGGTGGCCAATTTCTATCAGCTCACTATTAGTCACCTGGATGGTACAATGATTAGGCCCTTAGGAAAGCTTGGCCTTCCGCACTGATCCATTTCATGCTTTGTCTATTTCTACAATCATGTCTCTTCTGACCCTTAACCTTGCCACCTTTCATTTGAATCTCCAGCTTGCAGTCAAACGGCAAGTCCAATAAACAGATGATGTATTTTCATGCTTCTAAGGTGCTACATAGGCCACTTATGTCAAACTCTCTAGTTTGCGTTCTGGTCCGACTGTGAGTAAGCCTCAAAAGTATTTTAAGGTATTCTAAACATTATATTATTTCTAAATTCCCAAAAGAAGTATGAACAAATTTAGTAGACAGACCTATTAAAATAAATTTGTTTCAGTTTGACTTAGTGCCAGCCATTCACTCGGGTTAGGTAGAAAGAATGGTGACACAAGCATGTTTTCTTGAGTCTTACCATAGGCATCTGTCCCTTTTTTACCTCCCATTTCAAAAAATATATTTATTCCTTAGGCGAGCTATGTGTTTAACTGTACTGCTGGGAAAAGAAGATTTGCAGGAAGCTATTGGAAGTAATATATTCAATGACTTTAAAATTTCCTAAATATGACCTTTTCCTTCTTTCCTTCCAGGTTGTAAAAATGATGATCATTGTTGTGGTGACATTTGCCATCTGCTGGCTGCCCTATCATATTTACTTCATCCTCACTGCGATCTATCAACAGCTAAACCGGTGGAAATACATCCAGCAGGTCTACCTGGCGAGCTTTTGGCTGGCAATGAGCTCGACCATGTACAATCCCATCATCTACTGCTGTCTGAATAAGCGGTAAACACAAAATTACCAAATGTGGGTTTCTCGTCACCCCTGGCTTCGCTGGGAGCACATAGTGTCATTCCGGCTTCTTGGTGCAAATTTAAAACACAAAAGGAAGGAGAAATTGAAAAATTCACTGAGATGAGCACAGAGCTAGATATTTTCCTAGACTCCCCCCATTGTATAAAATACTCCAGTTTAACAATTGCAATCTCAAAACAATGTTCTTAGCAGCTCTAACTGGGCGGTTTTTACATGGCCCAAATCTTCCCTCCAAACCTTTCATAAGTTTATCTGCCAAAGGTAAAGGAGGTGAGTTGAACATTTGCTCAGGTCCTCAAAGAAATGAGGACACTTCACAGACATGCACAGGGGATGACTTATGTGAGCATCATCTACTAAAAAGGATGTTGCTGTGAGTGCGACAGAAGCAACCGTGCAGGCAAAGGGAATTCCAACCCGCCTTCCTGCAGAATGAGGTCGGTGAGTGAGAGGTCAGTGAGTCGGTGCGGCCTCCATGGGACTAGGGTGTGGAGAATCCAGGTGGTCAGGGAAAAGCTATTTTTAAAGTGAAGTTTAAAAAAAAAAAAGAGGAATATTTACAGATACATTTAAGACTGGGGAGAAAAGGTAAAATGTGGTTTCCAAGTAAAAGTCGCCTTAGTTGTAAGGTCAGCACATGGATGGGTAGGGAGGATTTCATAGGGTTGATAGTTTCCTTAAACCAATGTGTTCTAAGCTGTTTTGAGCACAAGTGGAAACAGAACTTCATGCAAGTAACTGCGTGAACTCCTGTTCCAACTGGGCCTCCGCCTCCCTGTGCCCTAAGTTTGCTAAATACTTAATTCTTACATTTTTATTAGTTGCATAAGCCATATATTGATTCAAGTCACCCCACAAGCAGTACATCTGTTTTTAGTCAGCTTCATTTAACTGTTCACAAAGACAAGGATTTTACACTTTCACATGTGATTAAATAAAAACCACCGAGATTAGGGAGCCTTTGAGACCTTGCTCCCTGGCACATGTCATCGGTGTTGCTCAGATAAACTCATAAAAATCCAAAGGAAAAGACACCATCAAGCTTAGCAGTGAATTCTAACAATAAGGCTTTGGTTTATAAATGTGTAACTATCACGGAAAAACGCTGCTTTGTAATACATCATGTTTAAGTGCCTTGAGTGGCCAGCCGGATTCAATCACCCTTGGGCAAATGCATAAAATTAGCAAAGGCTTGCACAGTTTCTCTGTCCTATGGACTACCTAACGCTGTGCTTTTACTCTTTAATGACCTGCTTCTCACCGATGACACACTAAGGTTCAAAGCAGACAAGAAAAACTCAAAAAGACCAGTGCCAAGGCGGTGGCCCAAATTCTAAAAGTTTAACTTTAGAAAACCAGGTTCAGAAGCTGCATTGGCCGCAATGCCCCCAGCAGGGCCTCCTGCGGCAGCTGAAAGAAGTGCCCTTGTGGGGACCTGACTCCCTCTCTCCCTGTGGCCTGCTCCCCAGGTTCCGAGCCGGCTTCAAGAGAGCGTTCCGCTGGTGTCCCTTCATCCAGGTGTCCAGCTACGATGAGCTGGAGCTCAAGGCCACCAGGTTTCACCCGACTCGGCAGAGCAGCCTGTACACTGTCACCAGACTGGAGTCGGTGACCGTGGTGTTCGACCCCAGCGACTCCGACAGCGCCAAGCCGGGTCGGAAGAAGAGGGCGACGCCGAGGGGCCCCAGCTTCAACGGCTGCCCCCGCAGGCAGTCCAAGTCTGCCTCCACCGCCCCAAGCTTCATCAGCTCCCCCCACCCCTCGGTGGGTGAGTGTCCCTGAGTCCCTGTCCTGGGGCGCGCCAGCCCCGCCCTGCGTCCTGCCCCGCCTGGAGCGCGGCGCCTGGGGGGCTGCGCTGCGGGGGGAAGGGCGTCGGTAGGACCGCGACCCTGTGAGGGCACCCGGCGCCCTCGCAAATCAAATGCGCTTTCCAAGCACTCTCGGAAAACTCTAAATTATTATGTGTAACAAACAGAAAACTCTATCTGAGAGATACTTGTAAAGCGCTTTGTTTTTCTCATTAAAAAATTGCAACATACTGTTAGTGAAGCGAAAGTGACACACTGTTTTTCCAAAAGAGTAAAGAAGCTTTAAAATGCAACATTGTGAGTGAATAAAAACAAAATATATCTAAAATAAAACTTCATCTATAGCTGTAAATGGAAAAAAGGCGTTAAGTGACTGATTTTCCCACTAGAATGATGGAAAAATAACCATCACTTTTGCTCCAGAGAACTCCTTTTGTACAGTGATTTAAAAGTTTTAATTTAAAAATTTAATACTTAAAAATGGGCTCCTTGAAACATAACTGAGAACAAAATCGGGTCAAATTATGAAGCAGCTACATGTCGCTCTCTTTATGTTTTTCTGAGAAAATGGCTTCAAAAGAAAAATAATTATTATTTACTTTTTGACCATTACATATTTGAAAGTGCCAAGCTAAGAAACAGTCAAAGTTGGACCTTAAAGCAAATTCCTGTGACCCTCTTTATTTTATTTTTCATAACTATTTAAGAAACAAAAAGTTATTAAATGTATGGGGGTAACAATGGTTAATAAAATTGTATAGGCTTCAGGTGTACAATTCTATAATACATCATCTGTATATTGTATTCTGTGTTCACCACCCCAAGTCAAGTCTCCTTTTATCACCATTTATTCCCTTTACTCTCTTCTACTTCCCCAAAACCCCTCCTTCCCTCGGGCAATCACCATATACTTTTGACTGTGTCCATGTGTAGATTATAAAACACTAAACATGGCTTGTAATGAAGGAGGGAAGAATCTCATTTATCTCTGAAACTGGCTACCAATTTTTAGGCAAGAATGAAAAATACTAATTCATAGTTACGATGGCAGACGGGAGCATCTGCCAACGCCAAAGGAAGGCGTGTTTCTCCGCTGTAACCCAAGGAAAAGGTGTAAGGTGGACATCAGCTTTATAAATTGTACAGAGACCTTTTCCTCTCCTCTCTCCCGATCGAAGAAAAGAGTTAAGGGCTAGGGGAAAATATCAGAAGATATATTTAAAGACAAGTCCTTAGGGAAAAAAGGACTTGTCTTTTTACTGCCCACATGTACTAATATACAGGTGAGTAAATCAGGCAAGGTGTAGAAAGGCGAATCAACTATTACAAGAGAAAACCAGAAGATAGTAGGATACATATGAACTAATACCCAGCAGACAAGAGTGTAATACACGCCTTCCCACAGAAGGAGCTTTCCTTTTGTTTGCTTAGGTATTTCAGAAGCCTCCCCCAGGAAGAAATGAGCTGATGGTCCTAAAGAAGCATCTGTTTTACAAGAAAAAAAAGTAAACTGACACATTTGTGAGAGCCTTAACAAAACAAGGTTGAATTAGAGATCCTGTCAATACTGCTCAAGAAAGCAGAAACTTTCTGAGAATGTGGATATGTCGTACAAACTTCTCCTTCAAAATATTCATTTGGGCTTTTAAAGCTCTCCAGCTAAAATAATTACCTGTAACACTTTAAAGGATCGTTATGCCTCCGTCAATATGGCACCGACTATTCGGTTTTTGAAAAACAAGATAAAAGCAGTTGTTCAACAGCAAATCGTGGCCTTTTGCTGCCAAGACATGAAATTTTCCAATCCTCCTCTTTATTTTGGACCCAAAGTCAGAAACAGCTAATCGTTATTAAGTGTTAAAAGTCTAAACAACCCCACCATATGTGTTTAAGCTGAATTTCTTCTGATTACACCAATAAGCAGAACACACACACACATTCGAGTGTGCAGACACATAGATTTTAATGGAACAAATTCAAAGAACTAAATTCCAATTGAATGCTGCAATAGTGAATGATCACTACAGAGTGGCTCAATAAACTATGAGGTTTGTGCACATGCTTGAGATAAGCAAATGTATTACCATTTAGCATCTAATTGTTGAATATAATGTTTTTAAATGTTCACTCCCAAAACCATAAATGCCTATCATACAAGGTGAAAGTGTCAAGAAAAGGCCTATTTTAAAGTAAACATTATCTTCTCAAATTTACAAATGATTATGGGACTAGTGTTAATGAATCCTCTCGATACAAAGGGCCATATTCAGCTTGGAATGTAAACGTAAAGCCTGGCCCTCAGATTCAATGTGGTCAGCCACCGCCAAAATACATCTGAAAAACAACTCTTGGCCTTCACACATATTAGGAAAATGTATTATAATCTGTTAAGACATCTAAGGAAAATATTGCTCCATTCAGCTGTTTTCTTTCCTTTCTTTTTCTTTTTTTAGTAGATTTGTTATTTTACTTATCAAGTCTCATCCTTCTAGCATAACAGAAATACCTGAGGTCCAGACAATATCTTTTTCATATATTTTAGAAAAAAACTGAAATCACTTAATACTCATGTCATGACTTTTAAACCAAGACTTATAAAATGCAATTTTTTGAATTCAAAATTTGAAAAATAATAACAATAAAATAAATAACTATAACATGAGATTAGATTTTATCCCTTGGTATGAATTTTGTCTCTGAGAATTATAGAATAATACACATGGAAATCAGTTTCAATAAGTGTTACTTTACGTAAAGCTATGTGTTTTCATATTTGTCAAGGTTTGTGAGATTTTGCATCCCAAATTCACCGTACCCTCTGATGTTAATGTTCACTGTGAATCTATTGCTTACAGGAAAACTCTGGCTAGAAATACAAACAGTTAAAATGTTCTAGGATTTTTTGGATTTAGATCAGCAGAAGAAAAATACATACTATTTTGAGGGAAATCCTGAAACAGTCAAAAAGCCTTGCATCATTTTAAATATTCTCTTTTTGAAAGATAAAAATAAATAAACAGTAAACATTGTATTTTCAGTATTTTTTATCAGGACAAAGTGTTTTTGAAATTACCTGCATGGGGAAATAATTAAAGCAAACATAAGTATTATAGAATCCAATCTAGTATCACCTCATTTTTAGCTAGCATTATTCATTCCATCTCCCAACTTCGTGATGGTGACATTTCTGACCCAGCAGCCAAATTCGTATTCTTTTCCAGATCTTGCCAAATCTCTTATAAACAGAGATCCTTGCAGCTTCACAGTGAACTTCACCCTTGCAGAGCACACAGAAGAATGCTAAAAAGCTTGGTGTCATACCTCTGAAGCACAAAATAAATGTGAAAAATCAATGCTGGCCAGCTCATAATTTGAATCTGATTTTTGTTAATTCAGGATTTCATCAGAAAACTTCTGATTAGCCTTTGATAAAATATTCCAACTACAAAAGCAGGAGAATTACAGTTGCTTACAGTTTTAACAGTAGCAATCCGAGTTCCCACTCCTTGTTGATATTGTGCCAAAAGTTAAGCAAATCGAGCATGACACTGACCATGTAGAATAATAATGTAATAATTTCCCTTGGGGACAATGGAAAACAACATCCAATAGTTCTTTACAAGGTCAATAATTGTGTGCTGTAAAATAGCTTGGTGAAAATGTTTTGTATATAAGAAATAAATGTACATAAAGTTTGTAGCTAGTAAACAAAGTCTTCAAGTTGTGGCAATTCTATTGAATAGGTTTAATACATTCTACCCTTTGTATGTGTGGTATATGTGACAGATTTAGGGGGACAGATGGTGGTGGAAATGGGGGACATCTGTAATAGTATCAACAATAAAAATAGTAATAATATTAAAAGTAAGAGCATTCTTAATATTTTCCCACTGGCTAGCAAAACATGGTAGGGACGGTCACAGTCACTCAACCATCCCCCAAGACGATCGTGCTTTCTTCTTTATTTTTCCTCATAAAAATGTCTAAGTTTCCTAAATTATCTTGATTCAAAAAAAAGCATCTGTGCAGAGTACAGTTATCAAATGTAGAAAAATATTTTGTGCAGAGAGCAAGAGCATGTGAGCTGGAATGCAGAGCTGAAAGCGCACGGAGTGGGGCCCAGGGCACAGCACTTTAGAGCTTTTGCATCGGGCTATACGTACCCACAGACTAGAGCTTACACCTGAGCCCCGCCACCTGCCTGCTAGGGGACCTGGGCCAAGTGATCCTCTGATCTGGGCCTCTTTTAACTCAGCAATAAAAAGGAGAAAATAATAATTTCTTCAAAGTGCTGATGTGAGGACTGAATGCTCTAATGCATAAATGGGGCCGAGCCAAACATTAAATAAACGTCCAAAAATGTCATTAGTATCATTATGTTCATAGGGAGCACATTAGAGAAACCCCTATTATCCTGCCCCCACTAAAGCTCTTTGAGTGGGCATGTGTAGCCTTGCAGCATCCTGTCGCTCAGAGCCCCCACACGGTCTCATGGGCTGTGTACGAGTGCTCTGGGAAGTTGCTGCCTAGCTCTAGAGGATTTCCTAGTGCCCTAAGTAAGAAAAGCTCTACAGGTAAAGAATTAGAAATGGACAATTCGTGGGAGTGGCTTTGGACATGCAAAACTAAGGTCACTTCTTAGGAAAGATACAGCCATTTTAAGCTAAAGAATAATAATATAATAGATAAGAGAGGGAAAGCAGAATTTTTCCTTTTCGGGTTCCCTGGGCAGCAACACTGATGGCTCTCTCCGTGCCTCTTCCCCTGAGCTCTGAGGAATAATGAACTGGGACAATTCCATGTCACATGGCAGCAATGACTCACACGGCCTATCCATTTCCACCACTCACAACCCCACTCAGAGACAAGCCAAGCGTCCCCTGCCCTGTCACACCAACTCATCGTAAAGGGGAAAAGAGAGAAAGGAACAGGATCTCTTCACCAGCCCACCAAGCATCCAGAACATCAGGAAATCCTCTCAGCTCCTAA